TTTCTAGCGCCTGATTCTGTCGTCCGATGAGTCTCTTTCCCTGCCAGAGTGTGCCAAAACTGCCGACTGTGCGCGTTAGGAAATCCAAGAACATCTTGTTACCGCAACCAATAACCTTAACACCTTTCTGCCATCCAGCTCCATTAAAAAATAATTCCTCACTATCAACCTCTGTAATTGCTGTCATCAGACGCGACTTGAAAAGTAGCCAATTCTTAGGCGATATCTTCCCCTCAGGGTCGACTTTGTCTATGGTGGTCACTTGTAATGAAAGTTCCATTGGGGATTCAAAAAAGGCCGAGGAATTAGGCTTTTTTGACTCCTTCTGTGTCTCTTCCTCGGACCGTAACCTTTTTGTGACTTTGCCCGATGAAGAGGAGGGTATCCTAGAAGAGGATCCTGTGTCCTTGGTGACAGCTTAAGGCTGACCATGCTCGCTGAATCTGCTTTATTTGCAGTTGAAGCGATATCCTTAACGGACTTTGCTTCCACTTTGGATTGCCCTTGTTCCGTTGATAAATAAGCTGTAGCGTTGTCCCTCTCGACAACGCTTAACTGCTCCATATATGCCGGAGCAAAATGGTGTTGCTTATGTCAGCTTGTTTAGGAACCGTACATGTTTGTTGGATATTCTCCTACAAAACGAAATATAACAATAAGTCGTGTTCGTAAACAAAAATATCTGTCATAATAATTACGAAAGCATTTATATTAACAATAAAAACGACTGCCAAATAAATGATTATATCGATATTGCGTTTGAAAATTCTGAAAATCAGAAACCGTCCGCAAATTGTAGACAATACAGATACAATTCGTACAAAAGGTCATCCGAGACTTATTCGCACAAATTCACGAGATACTCCTCAAAAAGAATATCACACGACAAGTCGATATGGTGAAGAATCATCCAATGAAGACGACAATACAAGTTCAGTAAGAGAAATTACAGATGAAAATTATTCAGATGATGAACCTCACAGCAACGTTTTTGTAGATCGTGAAATGGCGTTCCTCACTACATATCGAACTCCAGTAACGATTTTAGAGGCACTTGAAAGCGAAAAAACAAACTCTTGGTCAAAGGCGCAAGAAGACGAAATGGTGGCACAACTAAAGTATAAAACATGGGAAGTAGTCGAAAGACCGAAACTACGAAAAGTCATTAGGAATATATTCGTCCTTCGAACTAAAGATGATGAAAAAAAGAACGTACGATTAGTAGCGAAGGGTTTTGCACAACGAGCAGGTGAAGACTTTCATTACACGTTTTCTCCAGTCGCTCGTTCAACATCTATAAGACTACTCACGGCACTGACGCCAAAAATGGATTTAGAAATGCTTCAGATGGATGTCATTACAGCGTACCTAAATGGAGAGCTCGAAGAGAGTGTCTGCATGGAAATTCCTGATTATCTTATACCATTCCTGAACAAAGTGGTTTCATCAAAACCAGTGGGAAAATCTTCAACAATATTGTGTGGAAAAGTTAAAGAAACAGCGTAGCATTGGTTAAAGGCGATTAAATCAAGTAAGTCACCTGTGTGTTTATTAAAGAAAGCTCTTTATAGACTCCGACAGTCTGGGTTATCACGGTACATGAAACTGACAAAGAAACTACAGAATATGGGTCTAAGTGCAGTACAACAGGACCCTTGTGTATTCACTAAGCGTGAGGGCAACGACATTGTTCTGATGACAATAAATATAGACGATCTACTAATATGTGTATACACATGTGTAGATGATCTACTAATAACGCCCAATAATAAGTTTCGTATAAAAGAAATAAAGCCTGCGCATGTGAATGATTTCGAAATGAAGGATTTGGGAATAGTAAGTAATTGTCTTGGCATCGGGTTTTATCAAAATTTAAGCAAGCATCAAGTTTTTCTTTCACAAGAAAAGTATGCAAAAAGTATAATGGAAAAGTTCAATATGAAAGACTGTAAACCAGTAAAGACTCCCATAGCGTTGAACACGAAGTTAACGAAACCAACAAAAATTGATGAAGGTGTTATGAAAAAGTATCCTTATCAAAGCTTGATAGGAGCATTAATGTACTTAGCTGTTAAAACTCGACCTGACATTGCATTTGCTGTAAACTTTCTTAGCCAGTTCAATTTCAATTATAATGCGGAACATTGAAAAGCAGCAAAATTAATCCTAAGATACCTTAAAGGTACTAGCAACTATGATCTTGTGGTAATGCTGTCGCTTAATAGTATGCAAAAAGTATAATGGAAAAGTTCAATATGAAAGACTGCAAACCAGTAAAGACTCCCATAGCGTTGAACACGAAGTTAACGAAACCAACAAAAATTGATGAAGGTGTTATGAAAAAGTATCCTTATCAAAGCTTGATAGGAGCATTAATGTACTTAGCTGTTAAAACTCGACCTGACATTGCATTTGCTGTAAACTTTCTTAGCCAGTTCAATTTCAATTATAATGCGGAACATTGAAAAGCAGCAAAATTAATCCTAAGATACCTTAAAGGTACTAGCAACTATGATCTTGTGGTAATGCTGTCGCTTAATATGAGTTTTTAATATTTATTAAGAGCTTGTATATTGTTAACTATTGTAACTATTTATCAATAAAAATTATATTCTATTCTAATTTTCAATTTTTTAATCAAAATGTATATGCATAAAAATCTGACTGTCAATTTCATAGTTTTGAAAGTATGATTCTCTTTTTGCATAATATCACATGAAGGTAATTTTAAGGAAGGTCGCACGTTATCGTCGCTCAGTAACACATGTACGCACGTCTGTAGATCTCGTTGTACGAACGTTTTCGTTTTTGCATGATTTGAACCTGGAACCGGACGTAATTGATTCATGGTCTCCTTTAGAAACGTTGCGAATTCGGAGACACATCCGATGTGAGACGTATTTTCAAAGAATTCTCCCGGAAGCTTAAGAGACGTACCGTATACCATTTCTGCTGAGCTAGCTTGAATGTCGTCTTTATACACACTTCGTAAAGCTAGGAATATGAGTGGGAACTCGTCTGTCCATCTTTGGTTTGATATACATTTCAATGCAGCTTTTAATGTTCCGTGGAATCGTTCCAGAATTCCGTTCGATTGTGGATGTCGCGAACTTGTACGTAGATGTTTCGCACCAATGAACTGCAATAGATCAACGAACTGTATTCTTCTGAATCAACTTGTATTTCAGTACTGTTCTGTTGTGTTTGGCTATTTTAGCTCGCTGGCATCGTGGACATGTTTTTACCATTTTCGTCACATCCCTTTTAATATTTGGCCACACAAATCGTTCAACGATCAGTCTTGTCGTGGCCTTGCTACCTGGATGGCCTAAATTATATATGGTGTAAAAAACTTGCCTACGAAATTCATCTGTGATCCACGGTCGCGCATGCTTTGTTGAGAAACTGCACGTAATGAGATTCGATGAACTAGATAGATGCACAAATTTTAGCTAAAGTGAAGTCTTACCTTGTGATAAGAGCTAACTGATCAAAGTCAATCTGCTTTTCTCCTTGTATTCCGTCAATTCGTGACAGGAAATCAGCTACGCTGTTGTCTTTTCCGGGGAAATGTCTGATGTCAGTAGTAAATTGACCAGATCCAGATGATCCAGATGACGGAGTTGTTTGGGCGATGCTTTTTCAGAATTTTGCCGAAATGCGAAAATGATGAGTTTATGGTCAGTTAACACCGTAAAGTTTCTGCCTTCTACCATGGTGCTGTACCGTCGTTGTGTGTCTGTTAACCGTTTAGAATACAAACCAAGTGGTTCGAGTTGTCCTTCGCAAATGTGATGCAATGCAGCTCCCACCGCGGTATTACCGCATCGAAGTGTAGGATAAGATTGGCTTCTGCTGCAGGGTGTGCGAGTGAACTGGCATTACCAAGCGTTTTCTTATAAGCAACGAACGCTGACTTGGCTTCTTTAGTCTACTTAATTGCCGTTTTATCATTTTTTCGGTTTTCCTTTATCAGTTTCTGCAGCTCTCCTTGGACTACTGCTGCGTTAGGAATGAAACGACGATAGAAATTCACCATGGCCTAAAAACGATCAAGCTCTTGCGCGCTGCTTGGTTTCGGATAGTTGAGAATTGCTACAACTCTTTCTTTTGGCGGACGTATGCCATTTTGGTCAATACTGTGGCCGAGAAAGGTAATTTCCGTCTGAGCAAACACGCACTTAGTGATGTTGAGTTTTAAACCGTATTTGTGTAAACCCTGAAACACTGTGCGTATGTGTTGAATGTGTTCTGCTGCGTTCTTAGACGCGATGCAGATGTCTTCTATGTAATAAATTGTGAAGTCCAAACCGCTGAGCACTTGATCCATGAACCGTTGAAAAGTTTGAGCCGCATTGCGCAGTCCGAATGTCATCACATTATAGCAGTTTTCTTCTTATCCTCAGGTCTTTATCCGTCTTTAATTCAATACATAATTTAGCACATGCTGGTCGGCGAGCCACTATTAAGGAAATAGCAGAACGTTTCGTATGGCAGGGCATGGCAAAAGACATTGCGAAGCGAGTTAAATTATGTCTTCCGTGCCAACGAGCAAAAGTCACGCAACATAATAGATCAGCAATTTTGAATTTTGACGTACCGAGTGAGCGGTTCGCTGTAATCCACATTGATCTCATTGGGCCTCTACCATCGTCAAATGGTTACCCATATTGCCTTACATGTATCGATCGGTTTACCAGATGGCCAGCGGTAGTCCCTTTCGAGGATATACATGCCAGCACGGTGGCCACAGCGCTCATCAATGGTTGGATCATGCACTTTGGCGTTCCGAAGCAGATCATAACAGATCAAGGAAGACAGTTCGAGTCAGCACTGTTTAATGAATTAGCGAAACTCATTGGTGCCAAACATATCCGAACTAGTCCACGTCATCCTCAAGCGAATGGTTTGATTGAACGTTTTCATCTGATGCAATACCTTTGATTGTGTTAGCGCTTCGAAATATCTTTAAAGAAGACCTGAAAGCAACTCCAGCAGAAATGGTTTATGGGACAACTTTGCGGTTGCCGAGCGATTTCCTGGAACAAGGTAACAATGATAAAATCCCAGAACATGAATTCGTGGAAAACATGAAACAGATGATGTCTCAAATACGATCAGTTCCTACATCAAATCACTCAAATGAAAAGGTATTCTTACAGAAGGAACTGCAACATGCTACTCACGTGTTTTTAAGGGATGATAGTGTCCGTCCACCATTAAAAACACCGTACGATGGGCCATTTAAGGTTGTGAGGCGTTCAGACAAGACGTATGATCTTCTAATCAAAGGAAAACCGGTGCGGGTGAGTGTTGATCGGGTAAAGGCAGCATTTTTATCAAGTGAGAATGAAGACGTAAGCCCATCACGTACAGAAAATATGGCAGATACTCGAATGGATACCAAACCTAGTATTGTAACACGAAAGGGACGATTAGTGCAGGTTCCAAGAAGATATGTTAAATTTGACTTAACGTGACATCGCACATGACTCAGTCACTGCTAGGGGAATGATGTGGCGGTTGCATATTCACATTAATGTTTAAAATGATATAGGTTGGCCATGCAAACTCGGACAAGTAAATCATTGAAAATAGGATGAGTTGGCCATAAAAGAAAATTTTTAAAAACTAATAATATTTTTTATTGAGTAAAAATAAGGTTGTCATTCTTTTTACGGTTTGGGAGAACGAAGAATAAAACAACAGACACGTGTAATTTCAACACACAAAATTTAGTAATTATTTCTTGCTTTAATAAATAAATAAAGAATTAAATTAAGTGGGATAAGCCTACAAATAATTAGAAAAATAGAGTTCCTTAACATTTTTACTTTTAAGTTCTACAATTACTTACGATTCACTCATATTTTAGCAGCAATTTAATAATTATATAAAATAACGAACTTGTTGCTAATAATACCAAAAAATAATGAAAATTAGCTGTTGGCAGTTGTAAATTAAAAAGAGTTGTGTACTCGTATTATTATTTTTCAAGTACAGTTACAACTGAGAGTTAAAGTTATGTACGTACTTCCAAAAATCGTTCGCAATAGAGTCTTGGCAATCATACTATTTGAACTGCGTACTAGTTAAGCGGTTTCAAAAAGGTTGGACTAAATAAGCCAGCAGTGTTGTTATTTCATACATTATTTTTAAAATAAGTAGTTGTTCTTTTGTGATATGCTTACAAAAGAAAACGCCTAATGTAGTGATGTGTTGGTACTTAGCATATTTTCGAGATGGTTAAATCAAGATTAAATCGCCAGGGCTGCCATTTTAGTATTTTCATATGATAATATTTTCATATGTGAATTTTAATGAATATATAAGTATAGAAAATGGCAATAAAAATAATTTTATTAAAACGTTTTGTTTTATTTGTATTAAAAAAAAATTAATCATCGTTATTAGAAAACTTTTAACCGAAAAGTGATCACTTTTTGCATATATATTGCATATATCATTATTTGAGTATTTGCAATTAATTTTGTTAATATCTGTATTTTTTAAAATTTTTATTACTTTTATTAAATATTATAAACATTTATTTGATAAAATTTTATTATAGCAGCTGTTTCCAAAAAAATAATTGAACTTTTTTTCATTGACTTGGCAATATTGTTTTGGTAATTTTTGACATTTAAATAATTTTGTTTGTGTTCAACATTGTTTGTGAACAATTTATATATTAGGGGTATTCAGGCAACTGATTAGTTGCTTAGTTGATTCAAAAACTTCATATAAAAAAGCATTTTGATGTTAATCAGTTGCTTAAAAGACCCAAGAAGCGTAATCTGATTACTTTGTTGTGTGTAAATGCCTTGGCAGCACTCGCATCAACAGCAAAAATGAAACATACTTGTGTTTGCAAAATTGTTTACACACAATTCAAGCAGCTGAAAGAGACAGCTAACAAATTTCTATACTAAAGTTCATTTTAAGTTATTATTACTGTAACGACGCGGATTCGTCGTTTTTAATTTTGCTGAGGTATCACTCAGTCGCGGTCCAGGTCGTTGCAATAAATTTGTTTTATTGACTAGTTCGAAGCTCTGAGACCAAGGAAAAGCAAAGACGCTGTTTGTAGTGTTAAAATGAATGTCTTTATTATAAAATTTTATTGACTTATGCTAATTATTATGCTACAGAAGTTATACAAATTTCCACTAAATAGCTTCTAGCCAACGATGTCAGAACATCAGAGGCGTTATATAACATTACTCTATTCACTGGACTCTAGCCAACGATGTCAGAACATCAGAGGCGTTATATACGATTCTACGCAAGAATCTACAAATTTATTTAGCCTTAGTATCAGAAATACTATAGGCTTTCAAAAAGACAGCGTTAGAGTAGGTGACTACTCACTTCGGGATGCTGGCGCTAAGTGATTTTGCATACAAAAATCTCGTCTATTTATATGCGTCTATTTATATGTTCGAAGCTTTCGAACTTTCTAGTGAGCGGACGTGTTTTTAAGCCGGTCTCGGAAAAATTTAAATTTCAGTATAAAAACAGGTAAATAACAATCACTTTTAAAAGAATTACTTTTGTTATTAATACAAAAATAAAAAACAGAACATTCTCGGACAAAAAAACAATTCCTAAAAGTTAAAAGTGCATAAAATATTAATTTGAAAATAGCGCGCGCTTTTTCGATTTTTGTTGATTTTTGCACAACTTTAATATAAAAAAAAAACTCAAATAGCTGACAGAGACAGCAAATTATTTTCTAAAGCTCAAAATAAAAAAAGTGAGCAAGCATTCAAACAAAATATCAGTGCGGTTTTGTGAATATATAAACAAAACAAAAAAGTGCTGATAGAGACAGCTAGTATTTTATTACAAACGTGTTCCACAAAAGCTGTAATTGGAAGCCCGCAATTCATCACAACACAACACAACATCAAAACCAACATACATTAAGACCGAAAAGTTTTCGGAAATTCTCATTTAAAATTCGCGCGCTGTATATTTTCCGATATTTTAAGTTTATGTAGTTTGGCAGCACTGTCCTTAATTACTATGCCAAAAATGAGCGCGATCTGTCAGACAGTTCGTTTACGGCAGCTGTTGAAACCAGTTCACCTCAGTAGGGCGTTGCGAAAAAAACAATGGAAAAAAATATTGAACAAAGAGTTTGCATCAAATTTTGTGTTTCGAACGAAATTTCGTGTGCAGAATCGTTGCGAATGCTACAAAAGGCTTATGGGGAATCAGTTTTATCGAAAACTCAAGTTTATGAGTGGTACAAAGCCTTCCAGGACGGTCGTACGACCGTCGAAGACATTTCGCAACGCACTACTGAGGTGAACTGGTTTCAACAGCTGCCGTAAACGAACTGTCTGACAGATCGAGCTCATTTTTGGCATAGTAATTAAGGACAGTGCTGCCAAACTACATAAACTTAAAATATCGAAAAATATACAGCGCGCGAATTTTAAATGAGAATTTCCGAAAACTTTTCAGTCTTAATGTACTGCTAACCACTGGATTTTTGGAATTTAAAGATATTAATTTATTATTATTATTATTATTATTACTATTATTATTATTATTATTATTATAATTATTAGTATTATTATTATTCTTTTTTTCTCTTTTTGTTTTTATTTATATGTTTAATTATTAGAATATAAAGTATAATATTTTACACATATTCATTTTATTTTTTACATCTTCATTTTTATTTTTATTATTTTCTTCTTTATGTTAATTTAATTTAATTTTACTTATATTTATATAGTTAATTTAACTTAATATCAATTAATATTAATAGTAGTTAAATTAAGTAAATCTTATAGCACACCTGCTATTTGCATATATAACCACGTATGCAAATGAGCAATCAAATTCTAGAAAGAAGACATACGATAAGCATTCCAAGTAAACGTAATGCTTATTTGGTAATAGACGCATCGAATACATTGCCTCTGAAAACTACACAAACTGACAAAAGTTTGTCAAATATTGCACCTTCGGCAACTTCGCTTGCATTTTCCGACTTAGCAAGTCCAAAAAATAAAATAATTATTAACAAAAATTTTAAACCGCCTCCAATCTACTTGCGTGAACGCAGCTCAAATAACCTCGTTACAATCCTTGCAAGTCTGATTGGAAACAATACTTTTCATATTGTTCCTATAACTAGGGGCAATATACACGAAACCAAAATCCAAATCGACACTGAAAACAATTTTAGAGTCATAACCAAATATTTCGAAGACAGCAAAAAAAATTACTACACATACCAACTAAAGAGTAGTAAGGGCCTTGTTATCGTAATTAAAGGTATCGAATCAGATGTAGAACCCATTGAGATAACAAATGTCCTAAGCGAAAAAGGCTTTAGCGCTAGAGCAGTAATAAATATTGTTAACAAAGATAAAATCCCACAACCTATGTTTAAAGTTGAACTTCACCCGGAAGTTTCTAAGCTTAAAAAAAATGAGAGCCATCCCATCTACAACCTACAGTATTTACTTCACCGCAGAATTAGCGTTGAGGAGCCCCACAAAAGAAATGGTTCGGTGCAATGCACAAACTGCCAAGAGTATGGCCATACTAAGTCATATTGCACTCTTCGTACAGTGTGCGTAGCTTGTGGCGAGCTTCACCATAGTTCCGAATGCGATAAAAAAGCATTAAAGGATACCAACTCCAAAAAATGTAGCAACTGCAGTGGAAATCACACTGCAAACTACAGAGGCTGTCCTATTTATAAAGAACTAAAGCACAGGTTAGCTCTGCAGAAAGAAGCGTTGCGTAATTCTACAAGAAGCAACACCATTAAATTAGTTGAAGTACCTCAACCTTTAACTTCTAAGCCTGTTACACCAGGTGTTTCATATGCTAATGTCGTTAAATCTGACAAGCAACAAGCCCCTCCAGTTCAAAGTAATAGTTTGGAAATAATGATCTCCACTCACTCAGAGCTTAACTCAGTTCATGTCAATCATGCAAACTACTCTTAACGAGATAGTTAAAATGCAAAGCCAATTAATGCAAATGTTTTTATCTAAATAATGAGTACTTTAAAAACTTGTACATGGAATGCAAACGGCTTAAGCCAACTTAAACTTGAACTCACAAATTTCATGTCCCGAGAAAGTGTGGATGTAAAGCTTTGCTCAGAAACACATCTAACTAACAAAAATTTCTTTTCTATTCCTGGTTATTTATTCTATAAAACCAATCACCCAGATGACAAAGCACATGGTGGTACAGGTATTTTGATACGAAGGTGTCTAAAACACTATTTTCTAGGTACATATGCTCATAATTATATGCAAGCCACATCAATACACCTTAAGCACACAGGAAAAAATTTAACTTTATCGGCAGTTTACTGCCCTCCTCGCTTCAACATTACTGAGACCCAATTTACGGATTACTTTTTAACTCTAGGTGAAAGATTTCTTGCGGCGGGAGACCACAACGCCAAGCACACGTATTGGGGTTCACGACTCTGTAATCC